AGGAATGTTATAATTTCTGATGTAGTATTTACCCTGAGAGAATCACCAAGGATTGAGGCATGATGCATCAGTTTTTTAGGGATRCAACCAACATTTACACAAGTTCCTCCAAGACCCCAAGTACTACCTAATAGTCAAGCCACATAAACAATGTGTTAATCAATTTTATCATATTAAATTATCCATGAAATACCCATATATTTCTCCATTTCTTAAACTTGATATTTTTCGCTACGCTCACTCATGAGAGATCTCAACACTCGAAGATCAAATCTGTATCTCCGCGCGCCCATGTAATATCCTCTATATCTATAAAATGATATGATTTTTAATGCTCTGAAACAAACTYACCTTGCGGAGAAGGTTCCACATAATCAAGAACTGCAACTTTCTTKCCAAAACTTGCAGCTGTAATATTATGTAATAAACATCATTTCAAGCATGCATTGCAATATATCCGATTCAGTACTGATGAATAAAACATCAGTTCCTTATAAGGATACAGGTTGATCACATGATATGATACTGAACTCTGATTGGACAAAAGGTTATGAATTATTAATGAGTAATGAGTTTTACCAATGAATATCAACTAAGAGTATCAAATTCAATAATAATAAACAGCTTTATAAGTATTTTTTTAGCTTTTTAATTATTTTTTTTAAAATTTACCTTCTTTTGAACAAGCTAGACCACCAGAACCGCCTCCAATGACAACCAAGTCATAGTCGTACCCTAATCACATCAAAATGATCAAAACGCGTYATGCAATATTCTTGCTACGCACTTGAAGCTTCATTGGACAGGAAATAAACAACTGCATTATGAAGTAAACATTATTTACAACCAAATTCCCTAGAAATGCTATATATATTAARCACATATTCGCTCTCTGAAGGTCAAGCAATCTAACCATACAAAGAAAACAATGTTTACCATTGCTGGCCTTGGAATATCGTCTTGAGCTCGAAGCAACAACTTGAACAAGATGGTTATTGAAAAATTGCACCTTCTTGATGCTCTTTATCACATTCATGATACAATGCAGATAATTAAGATGTACTTTAGCTAACTTTGTTTCCTTTGTGTATATTTCTAAGTGGTAGACAGTGAAAAACTACTGATAATAATGCTTGGCAGGAACTCAACTTCGTCCGCCATTTTGCGGTCTCTTCTTAAATGCYCGCGGGCGCGCATGTTCACAAGAGGCACAGGTATCCCGAGCTAATGTGATTATCTACATAGACGCAGGATGGGGCCTTTCAGGGAGTTTGGTATTGATGCTAAGATTCCAGTAGCTGTACCACTAGTGCCACTCCACTTCCCCCCCTCTCCCCGAAAAAAAAAACACACCACGAGTGACCTTTCTTATAATACAGTTTAATTTATTCCAAGCTTTAGCTCTATTGAGCAAAATATAATTCTATCGCGACTAGGTGATGGCCCCATGTAAGCGGTTTCTGAAAAAGAAAAAAATTACATGTAATTATAACTATAAATACAAAATCAAAAATATTGAGCAATGTAAACATGGCCTGCGTGTAGTGGCTCTTGGGGGGAAGGAAAGAGGAGAGGAGAGGCAGGTCCCCGCCCCCTACCTTACTTCCTAAATTTAAGCGCCGTTTACAAGAGCAATTTTTCCTTGACAAGTTTTCCTTGACAAGGAAAAGTCGCTCGTGTAAACGCCGCTTTAACCGMGCAAATGCATCAAACGAGTTCACCGCTAATGCACAAGAAAATTATACACCAAATTATACACTCATTACTCGCCTGGGTTGGATCCTTTTTCGACGTGAATTTCATAAATTTGCCWGCTTCACTTTGAAGATGTAATTAGTCCGTCTTCCGCCCATACAAGCGTGATCTTTGTTGGTTTTATTGCATGTCGCGTGCAACTCTTGCAGACAGTTGCGTGATCGACCACCGCTTGCATAGTGAGTAGAGTTTGGTCCGCTTAGACATTCGCCGTAATAATGTAAACCAACGAAATCGTATCCCTTTTTTCTTGCTTTCTCGACACAGAGGCAGAGAATTCTGCAATGAGAAATGAATTGTTTACTAACACGGTCGCCGTAAGGGATTATTGGGAAAACGTCAAATCTTACATGGCCGTTGACTTTAATGTGAATTATGGCATCCATTGTCCAGATACTTTTCCCGTAAACATTTATGTGCATCGCAGTAATTTATTATTCTAATGTGAAAAAATCCGTTTCTAACTTGACGTCTGCTAATAAGTAAGATTTTAGTTCAATATAATACGTTCCCTTATATTGGCAATGCGTGATATTCAGCGATTTTCGCAATTACATCACAATTTAAAAGTATACAAACTGTTATGTCTCAGGTTATTATTTTGAATGTGRACAGATATCACTTTTATATTTCAAACTGGTCTTTGAGTATACTTTAGTAATCACGCATCGGCAGCCATACTTGACACTGAATCAGTGCCTTAGTTTTGCAAGAAATGTGGTCTACCGTAGCTTAACGAGTACATCTTTGCACAGTCAATTCCACTGACGATTACATAAGGGAAGAAGCATTAAAGAAGCTCGTTGAAGACTCACTTACCTGTTTATTGATTTCTTCCATTTGAACCAGTTGAGCAGAAATCCTCCATAAGCTTTACCTTTTCTATTTCGCGCATTTACAAGCTTATCTGTCAGTATAGTTTGGCCTGACTCGGTTTTGCTTTTGAAACAACCAACTTTCTCTGCATACTGTTCAATGTTACAGCCATTGTCTGTATTTTTAAAAAGAAAAAAAGGAATCTCCAGAAAGAAATGCAATACAAAAATAAAAATCAGTACTGCAAAAGTGGAAAATAGTAAGAGATGATTTGATGTATAATAATTTGCAAATGCAAAATGACAACGAGATCCTTACCGGCGGCATCGACAGATTTCTTAAAGACCATCAGCAATGCGAACAGTGTTATAACCGATGCCCACATCTTGACAACTGGTACACTTCAGTTGATCTGTGACTCGAGAAAGTCAGTAGTTCTTTACTCTGTATCTGTAGTTACAGATCTTATGAAGTTAACCAAGTTCAGCCAGATTAGAGAAGGAATGAATGAAAGAAAGATATCAAAGAGAAAAAGAGCCGGGAAAAGAAGAAAACAAGAAAAAAGGAAAGGAATGAAAAAAGACACGGGCAAGATAAGAAGTAAATAATAATACTAGTAAGTTATAAGAGAAACAAATTCAATCAAAATATATACAAGACACTGAATTCTTACCCCTGCTGAACTGAAGCCTTTAAATGTTTGCCTCGSCACAGCGAGTGGGATTATTCTCTTTATTCTCTTTAAGTATATAAAAGAATTTCAATAAATGCAGTTTAAAAAGTATATTAGACCGTAATTGGGGGGTCATTTACAACTYYGTAATGGAGAGCAAAAYTGAGAACTTATCACYGTAATTGMAMAGAAATCACGCATGYTGTCATGCTAAAATTCGAAATCGCCATAGCCAGTTGGAAGACACTCGAATCATTTACGTTGTTGACAATAATTACAAAGTATACATCATACAGTTTTTATCTTATATTGCATGGAAATGTTGAACAAGCTGTTTATTTCCAAACATTTGCAACTGTCAACCTATATTTTTTTCCCATGATAGCGTAGTTAAAAAACGTGTCAAAACGCGCTCTGAGCTGATATCATTTTATCAAGAAAATATACTAGTTAATTCCAAATATAAATAATAATCAACAGCAAAATAATTTATAGGCACATGCTTTTTTTCGCAAAAAAAAAACCTTGGAGTTTCGAGTCATCAATGTCAAAACACTGATTGATTACATCCTTTGATGTGCAATTTGTCTAAATCTACTCTATCATAAAAAAATTAAACTTGAAATATTCTATTCACGAATTATACAAAACTGAAGCTCTCAGATCCTGATCCAGACATGGATTTTTCATGTTCTATCGCGTAGGTAGCTGTGATTTGGAAGAAAACCTCTCTAAAGACCCGTTTACACTTGTGATTTTTGCAGTGCGATTATCGCCTTCAACTAAAATCGTACGTGTAACATGGAAAATCCTCGCGAAGTTGCAGCCAATTTCCAAGCATGTTTCGAAACTCAGGCGATATTTGCGGCCTGACCATCGCCGCGAGAATCGCTCTGCAAAAATCGCAAGTGTAAACGGGCCTTAAGTCAACAAGTAACCTGCTGAACCAAATTTGAGTAACAGTCAGTCAGGTCACGTACTATTTACTCAGCTGTTACATGATTTAGTTTTCAATAACAAAAACAGATTTCGGATTAATTTGTGATTAGAGACCTTTGTCASTTTCGTGACCACAAAAACAACGAGTGCTCATTAATATACACTGCCCATGGTTCATTTCAGTCGTGTAATCTCCTTCTGAGACAAACATTTAAAACTTAAGTGGTCCAAGAGCTAAATAYTGTGCCCGTAATATAGAGGTGTCCGTAATATTGAGTGTCCGTGATACAGAGAGCTATTTTACAAAGTTCCTTTGACCAGTGCTATATATCTGAACACCATTTATATTATAGCTGAATTCTAACACGCGCGCTGATTGGCGGATTTCATGAGAAAAGCTATGGTTTATTTCGCCGGTAAACCAGCCTGATGAGCGGTTTACTGGCGAAATTAACCGCTTGGGATGGTTGGTAGAACCGCTTCAAGCTATCCGGTTTATTGCTTAACAAAAATTAGATTGTCCGACCGAACGTGCATCGGTACACGTAAGTACACTATAGAAGTCTTGCGGTTCCGCAATGAAGTACGCGCGTAAAGCATAAAATTGCCAAACATTTTACTCGTGTCATAACTGAGAGAAACCGAAGTTCTATGTTATCGGTGTCCGCCATTTGCAATTGAAAATACAATTTCAAAACCACGTCAAGAAAACAACATTGTTGAAAGCTCGCAGCTGTGTTTTCACACATGAATGACTCGACAGGAACACTAGGAACAGTTTTTGACCAGCAAAAGAACACATAGCACCTGCTGAAAGTATGTGAACTTGCACCTGGTAGGAATATCACAGAACAAGCATCTCAACGTCAAAATTAAACTTAGTGAGCTTTGAATGAAGGCAAATCGACGCAGGATCAACGATAATCATACAATCTTTGGTCATGGTGTAGCTTTACGAGCGCTTCGCCGCTTAGAATTCTGAATTAAAGAGCTTGATTTGAACGTGTAGGCTTCTTTTCGGTAGAAAAGGCCTGCGCAATGCATAACCACACTTTTTACGACACAAGAAATTCAGTATTTAATTGTCTTCCTTGATAGTTACTATATATTTGTTCGATCGCGTTGAGTCGATGTGGTAACAAGGGAAAGTACATGTAGGTTGTATGGCGGCACGCTGGCGGATACCGTAKATTACTCAGTTTGCTACTTCAGAAGTCCCTGACCAGTAAAATAGACACGTAAAACAATTTTTTTGGAGTATTTTTTCATTATTCTTGTGTTTGAAAAGACTCAAATTAAACAGCCGCCATATTGAATGAAATCAAGTCGTTGGTTAGAACCGTGTCATACTATATTTTCCCGTGTAGTATCCCAAGAGTCGGATCATTGTTAGAAGGGGAGCAATTGAGCAATATAGGCATGTTTTTSTCTATCAGCAGCTTAAGCAAGTAATTTTTCAATGATTGTGAATGATTGCAAACTGTGTGATCCCAGGGTTAAAATGCAGGGCTCAGAATCCTCCAGTCACTGATCCCAAACCTTTGACACGCCACCTCGCGCTGTATCTTGGTATRTTCCAGTAGGAAAATGATGTAAAAGAACAACAATTTCCACCTTTGTATCTTAGCTATAAGGAAGACGAATATAGTAAGCATAAYTCGTAGATACAGCTGCATGCTCATTAGACCATAATTAATTAAAACAAAGTCAACGCGAAACTGTTATGCCAGCGGTGATTAGGAGCAAAGCTTTATAATTCCCACACATTCCTGTGCATTATTGAAGCCCGTTTGCACTGGCGATTTTTCAGGCAATTTTTCAGGCGATTTTACAATCCATCTGAGACGTTTTGTTAGCTAACCTCAGTGTACTGAATAAAAGTTTACCAGTTATTTTTTTAGGACCAAAATAACAGATAAACTGCACAAAAATCACAGCAAAAATCAACAGTGTTACCGAGCATTTTTAAATTGTTAAAAAGAACTTACAATAATTGGTTATCATAAAAATTTATCCATTTTCAATCATACACAGAATTTGGTAAGCAATTCAAAAAACWGCCTTCAGTTTCGACATGTTTCAGCGATCAATCGCCTCCCTTAGATACTTTAATGATACCTATATATATATATATAAGAATTAACATAAATGCAAAGAGTATATTTTAGAGATTATTTTAAAAAACATCTGAGAAAGGCGATTGATCGCCGAAAAACATGTCGAAACTGAGGGCTATTGGTCTTTTTTTAAAATTGCTATAGCAAATTCTACTATTACGTCCTGTTATACACAGAATTAGATATTCAAACTATAGTGCGGGGGCATCAAAGCAGATTTGCTGCCGTTACCATGCAAAACAATGGATGCTACTACGGCTTGCATTGCAATAAGCGCGCATTCCTGCACATGAATGAAGTGATTGCATTTGTTCCTGCTCTTTCGTTACTACTTTGAATTTCTATCATCGTCTGGACAAATTTCGCTTTTCTGTCTAACATATATGAGCTAGATGATGCAGATATTCTCAAAAATCATGACGAATCAATATGAAATAATGACGCGTTATTACTTGTAAAACAATGGATGCTAATTGCATATAGTGCATCATGCATTCCTATGCACAAGCATAGCTAATGATCATGGCATTAACAATCAGCTACCTTATAATTAGTTAGAACATAAATAAATTGCCTTTTAGTTGAAAWTATTTGCTTTTGTTTGATATATAAACTTTTGAAGAGAAATTAGTGTTGTAACGCCTTCATTAGCAACAAGTCATAGCTGTGGCGTCCCAAGTTCGGTAGAAGCTTCCACAAACTATTTTTAAATTTATATATTAGAAGTCTGTTA